GATGTGTGGACTTCAACTCCCAGAATTCCACACATCTTAGAGTTGCCAAGGTTGAGAAACACTGCTCTAGAGTCTGAAATTTAACACTAAGAAGGAAAGAAACCTCCTATGTGAAAGGAATTTATGGAGTTGCTATAAGATACACAAACAATGGTGTTGAACATGTGGGGTGAATATTTGGTACTGGGATAAGATGATAAGAGGAAATCCATATCCCATTGTGCAACATTGCCCTTCCTTTCCAGCCCATTGCGAGGAATCCTCCAGCAAGGTCACCACACAGACATTTTCCATGAGGCCATTAAGAAGTCCCACATTTATATAAAGAATTTCTCAAAAATCTTAATGATCTCATTTCACAAAGGCTGTTGCAAATACGAGCGCGCAGAGACATTTCCCATACTTACTGGACCTGTGCTAATACAAATTGCATGCTCGCTGCAGTGTCCATTCCTTCCATCTGCACATCTGTCAATAGGATTGCAGATGTAGCCATCACCCTGGTAGTCCATTAAGCAGGTGCAGGAGACATCCGTTCCATTCTGTGTGCACTTAGCATGGTCACTGCAGCCACCATTGTTGTCTCCACACTGGTCAATCACTACATCAAAAAGTGCCATTCAGTAAAGCATATATTTTGACTCTCTATCTATTGCTTAGGGAGTAAAGTCAGGCTGAGGAGATTTCCTCAGTTCCATTCTGCAAGTGTTCTAAAATTCCAGATTTTGATATTCCAGCCAATTTTGGAACATTTGAATAAAGTTTGTACACGCATGCAAATTAGGGCTTTTGAAAAAAAAAACCACCCAACCTTTAAAATGCTCTATGTTGCAGTTGCTCAATCATTCTATTGTTATATTGCTTTATATTTTTTACTGATAGGCAAAACTCATTTCTTTTTGGCAAGCTTTCAACACGGAGAAAGAAAAGAGGGCAAGTAACCATCACTTAGTTTCAGTAAATTCAGAAATGTATCTCACCAGCAAGAAGGGATTCTAACATTTTAATGCCATTCCTGAAAAACTGTTGCTATAATGGGAGCTCAAACTCTGGGCTGAAATTTGTTAAAGGTGGTCCAGTACGCAGGTTCAGAAGGTATTTTAGGAGATGAAACCAAGTAGACACCTTGAAATACTTCTGAAGTGATCTAAGCTGTACAGCAACATAAATTACTTAACGTTCTTATTTATCTCCAACAGTAACATTGTCAGGAAGCAGGATTTTATATAGAAAAATAGTCACAGCTGCAACACAACACAGGTTTTTATTTTCAGAAAAATGATGCTCATTGAGTGATTAGAAATTCTGATCAATGCCCAGTCTAATTAAAAAAAGAAAAGAAAAAGGAATTGGGAAATTCAGGCAAGACTATTATCTTCAGGAACCATTTCAGAAACGTTTGTAAATCTAGAGTAACAATTCTTCTCTGCTTGGGAATTCACTTACACTGAAGACTGACTTCCTCAGAGAAAGATTTCAGAGGATTCTAATAACTGTATAGAGATGATGATGATGATGGCAACCCTTTCTTAGCGGTGAAATTCCCAACACCCTTGGAGGGACAGTGTGAAAGACAAGCTTCTGATCATAATAACATGGCTTGCAGGAGCTTACATAATACCCCTATAATGAAAAACCAGGTACACCAATACTGAAGGGCTTGTGTGAAAATGAAAGCAACTAAGCAATACGACACAAAAACAACCAATGCAAGAGGCTATATCCAATTTCATATCTGTTATTGTTAGGGATATAGTCTTAATACTGAAATTTTGACAATATGATTGAGCACTGCTTGCAAATGTTGTTGATGATGATGATGATGACGATGATGACTCTTTGCAAACGTTGGATTCACCTGTAGCAATTGCAACATACCTGTGCATGTCCTTCCATCTCCCTCATAATACAGGTTACATTCACAGGTATTATTGGCTCGGCAGACAGCATGAGGGTGGCAGGCTGGGGAGCACTGAGGCACTGCAGCTGAATATACAGATAAAGAAATCAGACAAATCCATACATTCACTTCAGCATTTTGACATATTGCCTGATTAACATTATGCATTAATGCACCTACCAATTCTGCTAGAATTTACTGTCGAAAGTCTTCATTACAAAAAATCTTTTACCTACTTGGGAAAAAGGAGTCTTGCTGACCTACAAATTTTCTGGCAAAAAAATTTCAAGTGATGAATGAATATGCATTAAAATGCCCTAAATCAAGTAGCTGAGCAGCATTTGTCCAATTCATCTTATCACCAAATCAGCCCCATCTCTTTCCACTGCCATTTATGAACCTGTCACCTCTATTTTTCAAGGAAATCCTTTCTTTCTAGATCATGTCTCTAAAGTGTATTGTATAGCTGGACTGAACACACTTTGTTCTCATCCAGTTGTCTACCATGGCTTATTTATCACAACTGGGCTAGAGTGATGGACAGGTACTGAGTTGGGTTGTGTGGGATTAAGATTCAATTGCTCATGTTACTCTTAGGTAGTCCTGAGCATTTCAGGTTAAAAATACAAATGACCTACATGTTACAGTGTATGTATGTAGGTATGCATGTATGTATGTATACCTTTGAGTCAGTTTTGGACTAGTCCCTGCAGTTTTCTTGGCAAGGTTCTTTTCAGAAGTGGTTTGCCATTGCCTGTTTCCTAGGGCTGAGAGTGTGTGACTGGCCCAAGGTCACCCAGCTGGCTTTGTGCCTAAGGTGGGACTAGAACTCACAGTCTCCCAGTTTCTAGCCTGGTA